GAAAACAGCTGAATTCCCCCTATGGAAAGGATACAAGAAACTGTAAATGAATAATTATACAACTTTGTAGTTACCCATATATAATACCACGTGTTAATAACCAGGCACGGGTTTTGGTTTGCTAATTGGATTTATTGAACACTTATAACTTTCAACTTCAGGCAACTATAACAGTTTCACAGGTCTACGCACTCTAAAATTCACTGTACTGCAGCACATGTCTTCACAAGTCGTTGCCTGTTGGTGGATCCTAGCAATGTACGTTCCTCGGATTCTATACTCATGTCCTTACCTGCTGGCAACTACCTTGCAAATCCTCTTGGTCGCAACTGACTCAGCTGGTCGGTCGGTCGATTAAATTGCTGCTGGTCCTCGCCAGCATAGAAATTCTTGATTTCGAGTTCCGTCGGGAACCATGGCTAAGACTTTTCTCTACTAGGTACGTGTTTGGAAGTGGTGCCTCCTCTTCAACGAGCGAAGGGGTCTGACTACTATTGGTCATTCCCCTTCTATTGGCTGACTCAGTTCAGTCAGAGTCAGAGTTACCTTACGACTGGAGGTTTACCACCAAACAGTTCGTCTCGGCGTCAAGCATCTTGAGACTCACGACCAGAGATTTTTTCAACTAAACCCTTGCAGTAATCGTCCTTATGTAACATCCTCTCTGACGAGAATATGGGTATGTCTCTTATGAATATGCTTGATCTTTCGTCAAGTGTATATATCACACAGCAAGTTATTGAAAATCTTCCTTTTGCACTATATACAAGTACTCTATCAGTCCAGGCTTTGCAAAGCATATCATGCCTATCTTACGTATCTTATGCTACAACGGCAACTTAGTCACTTGAGCGGTCGTAAAGTTGACACCACCGCCAAGTATAAGCCTCTTATATTTGTCTTGTCCTATACTATGAACATGTTCATTCCCATGTTTTTGCATGATTTCTGCTTGTCGCCTGCACAATTTTGTTATATAATCGTATACATAGGGAAGGTTGTAAACCGTATGCAAATCGCGGAACGGTGTTTACTTTGGGAAATTTCCAGTGGTGCGGAGAAACTTGTTTTGAGGGCGCTGCATTTTTAAGAGGTAGGCGTGTGCCGCTAATTTTCAGGCGGGGCAAGCGTAAGCAATTACCGATCTGATCAATGCCTTATAGAAGCTTGTTTTAATGTTGGAGCTTAAACGTTCAGTCTTGAATAGGGAGTAGAATCTAATAAATGTTTTAAGGCCTTGGCTTCAGTCCTTTCTACGTGTAGTCTCCATGTAATCCTCTTATCGAAGATTACACCGAGATATTTGACATGATTGACGAAAGGTATATTCCATTCATTCACCATGTAAAATGACGGAGACTCGGCTCAAAGTCAAAGTTATGTTACGACCGACGGTCAGTCGGCCAGTATCTCTTGGAATAAAGCACCCATTTGGGGCTTCAGACCAGATCTTTATTACTGTCAGACATTTGCGGGTTTGTTGTTGTGGGGCGCTCTCTTTGAAGAGAGGAATGGGTCTGTCTTTTCCAAAGTCACAGTCAGCAGTAATAAGTCTGCTGTCAGTATGTACAACTTACATTTACGTGTTATTAAATGTGTCTATATACAACATATACAAGGCTCCTATCAGTCCAGGTTCAGTGCAGCAGATCATGCGCTCTCATTAGTAGTTCCTGCTACAACAGCAGTCTAGTCGCTTGAAAGTGACTCAACTGACTCGACGGCTCTCGCTTTATAGCCTCGGCACGGACAGCATAGAAAATAGTTCCCAACAGTTCTTGAATTGATGCAGACGGTTTCTTAACAATGTCTCGCTTTTTGATCGAGCCGTTACCATGCAACGAACAATGTTTAAGTAATCATATCACAATATATTGTGACATGCCTAACCGTTGCTGGGCAACGAGAGGTAGAACGAGTTACCACAAAGACAGACCCTTGATAAACACTCGGTTGCCAAGTTATGCAACAGTAAGGAAAGCGGTGTTTCTCAGTGCCGTGCCGAGTAGAGCCGAAGTGAGTCGAGCCGAGCCGAAGCGCGCTGGTTGCTATGCAGCAATAAACAACTCTCGGCAGCGTTCCTCAGCAACGCCTGTAAACATGGCGTCACGCAACAGGGGAGCCCGTGCAACGACTGTTGTTAGGCAACCTGTAAACACGACGTTACGCAACAGTGGTACCTATCACGTAACTGTTTTCTATGTTGTCCGTGCCGAGCCTAAATAAGGAGCAGCGAACACTATTCAGCAGTGAGTATTGAGCCAGTTACTAGGGAGAGAGTAACCAGTCAGTTGCAGTCTAGCATTCGCCGCAGTAAGTTGTGATACTGCCGATGGCAGTAATTGTATAATTGTGAATTGTATAAGTGTACGAGCGAATGTGCAATAAATTCGCCATATACAAGACGGCGTGAAGTTACTTGTCGCGTGCATACCCAACACGTGACAATATATACGATTACATCTATAGTTTCCACTACTGTACTACTAACACTACAGTGTAGGATCCTGTCTGGAAGCTGATAACACCACAGACGGTCAATAAATTCCATGATTTTACGGAACCCAGAAGTTCGCGTTTGTTCTGATGCAAAATCCAAAAAACGAGACCACTTGGCAGATCTAAGATTAGGTCGCTGATAATATTAAAGTTGATATATAGAAGTAGGCTCTGATGGTGTGTGCTGAATTCAACTGGCTAAGGACACAGTCCAGGGGCGGACTCTCGTATACTATGGTTCTGTATGCATTTGTATATCCCCGAAGATTGCTGTATGTATCAGTCATTCAACTTCCACGGTTTGATCGCCATAATAATATTTGGTAGACTACAATTTACGAGGCTCCTCGTTTCACAAGTTCCTTCATTCTCCTGTTTCTTATTCTCTCTCAAGTCCAAATAAACCCTTCAGATTCCTGCTTCATTCTACGTGGATGACAGTTTCATATTTCAAAGTTTGTGTCCGTCCAATAGCAAATTCCACGTAGACCTGCCTAAGCACAATTATGTTCCCCTTAAAGTTTCATTTAATAACATGATTAACAAAAAACAAACAAAAGAAACTCCATGGTTTTAGTCCGCAACGAACTATACCCACCGAACGACCGTCGCTTGTCGGCGAAGTTAGTGTTAACTTTAGCGGATAGAGGGTGTCACATGATCAGCGTAACGAATCCCCACGGCCTTTAATTTCGGTTTTCTAGACCGGAGCTGCTATTTCCTTGAAATAGCTCCTCAATTATCCTCACGAGGCAATAACAGGGTTAACACCTGAAATAATTCATTAGCTGTAAATGTCAATCGAAATATAAATAAATATTTCTCGTCGCTGTTATTTTACACCCCACAAAAATAATGAAAATTTTTATTTTTATATATTATAGGGTTCTCCGGAAAATTGGATAGTTATGTCGGTATAGCGATGGAGTAGAAGGCCTGGGTTCGATTCCCGGCAGCAGCAAGATTTTTCTCTACTCCACAATATCCAGACTGGCTCCGGAGCCCACCCAGCCTCATATAGAATGAGTACTGTGTTCTCTTTCGCCGGAAGTAAAGCGACAGGGGCGTGAAGCTGACAACTGACCTCCCTCTAGAGCCGAGGTCAAGATTTATGGAGATATACCTCCTCTCTTCCATACGTCGTCATTACATAATGCTGAATTAATTAAGCACATGGACTACTTAAACTTTTGTACGGCACTTTGAAAAACCTGGGTACTGGTTACATCTGTTACTTTTATATTTATAATGTTTTTAACGAAGACCATCATGACTGGATGTTCTGAGACAAATCACGAAAAATCTCAGTCAGGATAATCTGTGTATCGGCCAATATTCTAAACAGGAACCTCCAGCATACAAGTCAAAACGTTGCCGCGTGTGCAGACATATTTGTGGGATTTGTGGTGGACAAAGTGGCGCTGAGGCAGGGTTTCTCCGAGTACTTCGGTTTCCCCTGCCAATCTTCATTTCACCAATTGCTTCACAATCACCCTCACCTATCATCTGGGGCTGGTACAATTGGCCAGAAGTGGCCGCAGTACAGGGGACTTAGTCCCACCCCACTAGCAATAAAAAAAACATTATTTCTACACTTTATAATTCAGTGTTACACACAAGAGATGTTCCCTGGTAACGCAGTTAAAACAGTCGCACTGTAACGAAATTTTCTAATTACACATTAAGTCTTCACGGACCGACTTCTAGCACTTCAATTCTCTTGATTCACGCAGCTCCTAGTTCCAATTTGCTCTCTCTAGACTATCTATTCGCCCTAGTCTAGTCTCTACTCCAATGCCGGTCAAAGTCTCTCAACTCCTTCAAGCCAAAGTCAAAGTCACATTGCGACTGACGGTCAGTCAATCAGTCAGTCAGTCTTGGCGTCGAGCCCCACCTGGGGCCTATAACCAGATATTTTTTTACTGTTTTACAGTTACGGCCTTGTTATTTTCGGGCGCCATCTCTGAGAAGAGGACGGGTCTGTCTTTTGTCAGAGTCACTGTCTGTAGTAGTAAGATATTTGTCATAATGTAAAGAATATGTACATTTTACAAGTTAAACATTCTTCTACTATTACTTGTATTTGTTGCCGTGAGAATGTCTTTTAACAGTCCGTTACCTAGAAGTGTCCATCTTTTTTTACTTTACTATTCCGGCCTTCCGCTGCCATATCACAATATTAAAGACATAGTCACTGCTCTGGTGTACCTGAAATCTCACATCGGGTCGGCCTCTGATGGCATAAAGCTCATATCAAATTTCATCAAATTCCGTCTGATCTCGTCTTGAAACATGCGGACGTACAGGCAGACATGACCCCCTCTATGCTTCATTTGCATGTACATCGTGCGAAGAACACATAATTAATTTTAGTTGACTAGCTTCCAAGGGCATGAGGTTATTGTTACTTTAAAATAATACATAAAAGAGGATGGCAAGTATTGTTCCGTAACGACTTTGAACCGTGACACAGTTGCGGCCCACATCAAGGTTAAAAAGAGACTGAAAGGCTGCAACGGCTACCAGCAATGCCTGGCTTGAAGTAGGTTGTCTCCACTAGCAACATAGATACGGAGGTTGTGCAGTTTGGGATGTCGGTCAAGTAAGATCAGTTATCGGCCTCCCACCATCCAGTGAAGGCTGCTTTGTGCCTTCGCGGACAAGTGCGACTTTCAGACACGCAACCATCTGACGACCGGTTTCAAAGTCCGGGCTGTGGTGCTGCTAAAAGAATGACAACTGAGGAAGAACAAAATACGACCAGGTAAAAAGAAAAAGGTAAAGAAATATTTAGAAAGTTAAGCACAGTGAGTCAGAACAGAGGATGGTTCGTGTCAGGAGGTTCAGCGAACCAGATTCACACATTTATTTCCTGTTTTTCAAGGCCTCCTCCGTCTGATTGGCAAGGTAAGTACCTTAAACAGGTCACGAACACCGCGTTAAAAAACCCTCACCGACTCAAAATTAACAGAAATGGAATTGAAAAGTGCACCTCATTTTGAATACATATATGAATTTTCCAAAATTGTTTCTTCTGCAGTTCTGTACATTTTATTGGCCTCCATTATCAAGTGTTAAAAATGTAATAAACAGCACATACGATAATCGAGATATTATCTGTCAATTTTACTTCATAAATATAGAAAATATCAGAAAATGAGGTATACATTTTACACAGTGTACCCTTTTTTTTTTTTTGTAGGGTGAGCCGTTTTATGAAAATTGGTACCAGTATTTCGATTTCAGATTTATTAATAAATTCTAAAAAAAAAAAACTCCGTGGCCTGTAGTTCGCGAGCGAACTATACGGAAAGAGCGACCGCCGCTTGTCGGCGAAATTAGTGCCAACTTTAGCGGATAGAGGGTGTCGCGTGGTCGGCGCAACGGATCTCCACGGCCGTTAATCGCGGTTTTCTAGACCGGAGTCGCTATTTCCTTGAAATATACGTAGCTCCTCAGTTATCCTCACGAGGCTCAGTGGACCCCGCTCCAGACCCACTACTTCTCAGAAAATCTAGTAGCGCCGGGAATCGAACCCAGGACTTCTGGGTCTGTAGCCAGGAAGTCTGGCCACTACACCACAGAGGCGATCTATTAATAAATTCTGAGTAAAGTTAAATTCGCTTTATAAGTTTCGGTGTAAACTTCCACTAGGAGTGCGCAAAATTTGACCCAGTAGAAACTACTGTAAGGGATTTTTGAGCTGGCTCTAGAATTGGGTAGTTCAGGAGATCAGACATGACAGATACTCCTTCCGTATTACGCATTTCGAGCAAGGGGAAAACTCACCCTCGCATTCAAAATTCTCCTCTACATAAAAACTAAAAATTAAACTCCGTGGCTTTTAGTCCGCAAGTGAACTATGCCGACCGAGAGACCGCCGCCTGTCGGCGAAGTTAGTGCCAACTTTTGCGGATAAAAGGTGTCGCGTGGTTAGCGCAACGGATCCCAACAGCCGTTAGTCTCGGTTTTCTAGACCGGCTCCTGCATAAAACTTTCGCTAAATTATGTTACATGAAATTACTGAAAAATAAAACTAAATGCAGAATATCAGGTTAATAAAAATTCCAAATTCCACAAGATTCATTATCTTATATGTGTCTGTACAGGAAAGAAAACTGAAAGAAAGAAAGAAGGAAAGAAAGAAAGAAAGAAGGAAAGAAAGAAAGAAAGAAAGAAAGAAAGAAAGAAAGAAAGAAAGAAGAGATAATTCGTCTCGGTTCACATAATCTCATATTCGTCTTGCACTCTGAAGGATATAGGTTCGATCCCATCTGAGGGTAATTTTGTTAGTTCTATTTTTTGCGAACAGTCTAGCGCAGAGACACAGCGAAGGCCGCAACTGCTTCATGCTTTCATTTACCGCAACCACAATCCTTCCAGCAAAACTGTATCGGTCCTAAGCCCACAGCAGACTGGCCACATGCTGGCTCCCCTGCAGCTGCACTGCACAGTTCGCATCTCCCCAGTGCAACGAGCATGCAGAGCATGCTTACACTAAACATCGGTACTCAAGGGAGCTGTGTTGTACTTCCATCAGACTTTCATTTCCAAGTAGGCCTATAAAGGCAAAGTTGTCCCTATGCTTAACTAATTAAGCACTACGTCATTAAGGCGTATGGGGGAGTGGATGTATAGATCTACATTTTCTTGACCTCGGAACTAGTTGGAGGTTAGCGGTCAGCTTCACGCCCCGGACGCCTTACTTCCAGGGAAAGAACCCCGTTAAACGCTGGGTAGGAGGTTCGGTGGGCTCCAGAGTCGATCTGGACGACGTGGAGGAGAGAAAACTCTTGACCCTGCCGGGAGCCGAACTCCGACCCCTCAGTCGTCCAGCCCGTAGCCAGTCGCTATACTGACTAACCTATCCAAGTAGGCCTAGAGCTTGTCATAAATTCATCTTATCGTTCATAACTCCTATGTTTATACGTGCATTTAATAAACGCTGAGATGATTTTATAAAATAGTACCGCTACATTAGCCTTGTCATCGCGGCATGGTGTCCTCAGGACCCAGAAGTAGGAGACGGCCTACAGATATAGATGGTAGCTGCAAACATCGAATAAGCAGTCGCGGAGCGCCTACAAGGTGCGGCCGTCCAGCTTGGGAGTTGGTAGTAGAGCTAACTCTCTCCGTAAAAAAGAAAGGTGTTGTCACGTGTATAAGTGACTACAGACAGGGTTTAGATTGCTAGTGGGGTGGGACTAAGTCCCTTGTACTGCGGCCACTTCTGGCCTATTGTACCAGCCCCAGATGATAGGTGAGGGTGATTGTGGAGCAATTGGTGGAATGAAGATCGGCAGGGGAAACCGAAGTACTTGGAGAAAACCTGCCTCAGCGCCACCTTGGCCACCACAAATCCCATTTGACCAGACCCGGGATCGAACCCGGGCCGCCGTGATGGGAAGCCAGCGACTAACCGCTTGAGCTATGGCGCGGCCCAGGGTTTAGATTAGTAACTGGATTTATTGAACACTTTCAGATCGTAACTACAAGTAACTATAGCGATATCGCTAATTCACACACTCGGCAGTTCACTACAGCACGTATTAAGTCTTCTCAGTCTGTTGTGACTTCATCAGTCGTTGTCTGGTGATGGATTTCAACAATGTCCTCTGCTTCCGTGCTCACGTTCTTACCGGCTGGCGACTGTTCTACAACTAACTCATTGCTCCAATTGTCCTGATTATAACATCCCGGCACTAACCGCATAGAAAAACCGTTTCTCTGTTGCTATTCAATTGTTGCTTAGCGGACAGCGCAGAAAACAGCATTCCTTTGTTGTTGTTTGCGGGACGCTGCCTAGCAACGGCTGCTTGTACAATCGCCTGTCTCGCAGTCGCCGCCTAGGAACGGGTCTACTTGCCACAGTATGTTACGAAATGTTACACAGGTTCTCGGGCTTGGATGGATTCTTTGGAATGACGTAAGCAAAGGAAAACGGAATCTGTCCCAGGATATGGACCAGTGGCAGGCTCTTGCGATTATGGTATGAACCTCTGGTTTCCATAAAATGTTAGGAAATACTTGAACAGTTGAACAACTAGTGGCTTCTCAAGAAGTACTCAGCTGCATGGAGTCAGGTAGCTAGTTAACGCTATATTCTACAACAAGGCAACTAATAAGTTGGTATATAGGTGGCGCTCTAGACTTGTATTCGCGAGGTGCTCGGTTCGATTTCCGGCCGGCACATCGGCTGTCCTGACAGGATAGTCATAGTTATCTGCAGTCCCTCCAGGTAAATGAAGGGATAGTACCTCAATTAGGCCACGAACACCTCCTTCCAAATCCTTTCTACCTCATCAGCCATTCCATATAGAGTCTCGATACTAAAAACGTCGTAAAACAACTTACGAGTGAAAAGAAAACAAAGTAGCGTGACTGAGTGTTTTGTTATTTAGTGATATAGATTCAGATGTTGCAGGCTGCATATTGTCGAATGAACCGCGGAGATGCTTATGAATTCTGAATGCTTAAGGACTTGGAACGAGTCAGAAGTGACAGATTTCAAGGTATAACCCAGAATTCGCCGGCACAGTCTACAAAAACATAGTCAAAATTATCAGTAGTGTAATGTTTTGAGTTTTCTTGGGGTGGGGTAAGACTGAGTCTACTTGGTCTACGAGGTCTGCGGTTTACCACATTATCTGGAATTCCACATAACAGGAGTGTAAACGTGTACTAATCTCGAGTAAACATACGTTCCTAAAACATTCGAAAAGGGCACTGTAGTAAAGCGATCAGTAATCTGCTTGAGGCCGGTCACGGTAGCCGAGCGGTCTGAGGCATGTACTGTCTTCGTTCGCTTGGAAACAGGGATCGTGGGTTGGAATCCCACTCAGGGCATGGATGTTTAGTTTGTGTACAGGTAGAGGCCTTGCGACGAGCTGATCACCCGCCCAAGGAGTCCTACCGAATGTGTAAGATCAAGAAAAATCGAAGTGAACGGAGAAGTTCATGGAGGTACGCCTAGGCCCACTGGGGCTGTAGTGCCAAGGAAAAAAAAATAACTTCGGAATAAGTCAGGTGTATTCTTTGCTAATTTGAATTTCTCTACAGCCATGACTTTCACAAAATGAAATATGAGTCTATTTTCCAGCCATTGTATCTACCTTAGGCCGAATTCTTATGGCAAAAACGAGAGTTAAAATGCATGAAGTAGAGAAGTATAAAGATCTATCGTTCACAAAATCAACAATGAATAGAGGAGTGTATAATTTTGCTCCTATTCCGTTAAATATACACCACATCGAAAACCGTTTGAACAAAAGCTTGCAGATGATACTGAGCTATCAACTGTAAGCCTCGTACAGTACTTAATATTACTTTTCTTAGGATACTGAGAAGCATAACTAATTCATCCAAGGTTGAGTTGCAAAGCTCAAACCGGATGCAATGCTTTGTACACTTGTCACGTTCTTGCATGGTCGAGGAACCTTAAAGCATAAGCAGGGAGTTTGACGTCAGCACGCGTTTCGAAATAACCAAGCCTATGGACCGAATTATAATGATCCTGTCTTTATTAAGCAGACGAGTGGCACAGAGGATTATGTAAACTGAACTAGTAACTTATAAATTCCTTCTCGCGTGCTCTACCTTTTTTTATTTCTAGTGGGGTGGAACTAAGTCCCTTGTACTGCGGCCACTTCTGGCCTATTGTAGCAGCCCCAGATGATAGGTGAGGGTGATTGTGGAGCATTTGGTGGAATGAAGATTGGCAGAGGAAACCGAAGTACTCGGAGAAAACCTGCCCAAGCGCCACTT